TCTTTGACTGGCGGCGCTTGATGAAGAATATGACAAGTCCGACAATGACAAGACCGCCGACGACGAGCCCAACGATCAGATCTGTGTCAGACTTCAGCGACGCACTTGCGCCCGGCGACGCGACGACACACACGCGCACGTCGTACTCGGACGTCGTTGCCCACAGCTCGCGAATCGAGCCGTGGTTGGCTTCGCAAGCTGCTGTGTCGGTATAGATCGTGCTCGTAACCTTGTAGCCGACGTAGATGACGTTGTTGTCGGGGTCGTATCTATAATAGCCGCGGTCGTCCTTGAGCGCGCTCGACGGTGCGAGTGCGTCCAGCGCGTTGAATGTCTCTGCGTCGATGGTCACGTTCACGATCGAGCAGTTGGCAATGTTGCTACACAGTCGATAACGTCATCTGACATGATCAAGGCGGTGTACAAATATGTCAGTCGGCTCGCGAGGCGGACGTTGGCCAGCGCCGTGAGCGGGTTGTTGGAGAGATCCCTATGCACGATGAAGACCGATTTTGACGTGTACTCCGAGGTCGTACACCGAGGTGACGGCGCGCCAGTCGACGTTGCTGACGTCGGTTAGTTGGTTGAACGACGCGTCTCTAGTGCGTCGACTGATGACAATGTGTGCATATTAGCGATACGCACAGATTGATCACGGTTGGCGGCAGCCCATTGAGGCTCGTGATCGCGTTGCCCTGAAGTCCCCTATGCAGTCTTCCTGCCGCTGTCATACTCGGTTATCGCTTTGTACAGCTTGCGAATGCTCGCGGGCAGGTTCGACGGGACGCGCACGAGCATGTTCTTGGTGATATACCTAGTGCAGGTACAGTGTATTGCCTATTTTGATGCAGAGCGGGACTACAGCGATTTGAGGCCCGGAGGAAACGCGAAGGACGACGAGAAGCGCACGAGATTGCAGTTGATCAGCTCCCTACATCCGCATTAGTCGACCTGCGGTGGTCGAGCAGCACGGACAAGCAGGTCAACGCTGGCCACGGCGACGTGATTTGACTCAGCGACAACGACGCCACGTTTCGCAGGCGCCTACGCAGCTGAGCAATGCAGCAGGCGTGCGAGAGGAGACGGACAGAGTACAGCCTTTGTAGCGCCGACGGAAGCACCATCTGCGAGAGGTCGAGCGCGAGCGGCGCGCTCTGGACAAACCTATCGAGTCCGTCGGTACCAATGATCCAGAGCCAAAGCAACCGTACAAGCCGTCTTTGACGTAGTTGGTCAAGTCGCCAATGGCCTGGACGTCCCAGAACGAGTCCGTCGACGCAAAGTACGTGTAGCTGAGGCGCGAGCAGTTGCCCGGTGATAGGAGACACCACGCGTCGCTGCCGCAGTTGGTGTCGCTCGCAAGAACCGCGCTACCCCCCAGCGACGTGTACGGGCACGACGCTGCCGCAACGACGCCACTTGCGAGTCCCAGGAGCGCCCACAGGCGTCGCATGCTCGATGCAAAATGGCAAATCCACGCCCTGCAAGTTCAACAAAGCGCTGCGTTTCCGACCGCCATACGCCGCACTGGACGGGCGATTCACTGTACCGACCAGCTCCAAACCCATGCGTACGGAGCATCCAATTGCCCATCGTGTGCCGCACGGCCGCTACCCGACCATTACGCACGAGGATACCGGTACCAGGC